CTGCAGATCTATTTTTATAGCTGCAGATGGAGCATGTTTTTTTTCCTTGGAAAAACATACAGTATAGCAACCAACTAGATTTGACATCATTGTTAGATAACTGAAAAATGGTTTCTAATTAGCTGCCATTCATTACTGCATTTTGTGAATCAACACTTCTCTTTTTAATAGCTTATTAAATTAGCCATTTATCATCCCTAAAAATATTTCCTATAGCACCATGGCAGCACACAATGGGTCAATGCTTCATCCCTTAACCCCATGGGACAAGCCCTCTATAATTTTATATTACCTAGTGCCCCATGTCATTCTTTTTCTGTCCTTTACATGGACATACATCTGCAGTTTTTCGCACTAACCTACCACTTTCTTGCGGCTTCCCATGCAGGGTCAGTCTCCACTGTAGTGACGTCCCACCAATAGATACCTTTAACCAAGGTAGGGCTCAAGAGACATGTTTTCAGTGTCTCAAGTCTTTTTAGGAAAGGTTTTTAGTACCCTCTTGCGCCGCAGGTCCTCTCTTATCTCTGCCTTCTTTTAATCTAGCTTATCTTTTCCGTTTTCACTTTCAGTGGTGGGTCAGCGGGTATTAATGGCGGCCACTAAGCCATTCCCAATATGGCATCTGGATTCGTTCTACACATGCGCAGTTTGTTCAGGCTTTTAAAAGATGGCAGCACCCCAACGGATCTATACATGTGCTGGTGTTCCTTGTGGCCAGCGGGTTCCCCCTCAGCTGTCGATTTTTAAATAAAAGGCTGTAATTTCTCTAGTGTGGAGCTAAGCTTTTTGGCTGTAATAGTGGGCTTGCCAGTTGGCCTCTATTCCTGGATGCCGTACGTTTGATTATTGTTCCTCAAGCTTCCTTAAAAACCTTATATTTCTTTAGTAAGTGAAGCTTCTCATTTCCTCAGAGCCATGTCTGATAATGCTGCCCCAAAAGACACTGCCTCCTCGCATAGGTAAGGGTAGGGTGAGTATTCTTTAAAAAAAAAAAAAAGGTGACAGTGCTTTTATATATAATAATGTTATGATTTCACAGCCCTGCTCATGAAGACCACCATGAAAATTGGTCCAGTCCCAGATCTCCTTCAACACATCACCATCGTTCCCACAGGTGTAGTTCACACTCTATGATCTTATCATTCAGAAACAACCTCCCACTTGTGATGCAACAGTCCAGATAAAGAGTTCCTGCTGGGTTTGCGGAAACTAGGCACTTCTGGAGTAGTCTGCCAATCTTAACGAAGCAACCCAGGAACATATGGCAACTACATGTAGTATCTCAGAAAGCAGTCAGTGAGTTAAACCTTGCATAAAGGAAATGGTGGAGACGTCTCATTTCAAACTTAGTATCTCATGTCATTTAACAGAAGTGGATTCTATCTCAGAATATTCTGACGTTTCCAGTGAACATCCTGTTTAATGTTAATCTAGCTTTGACTTCAGCTTGGTAGAGCCATTCATGACAGCAGTAAAAGAGGCAATTGAGTCGGAAGAGCCAACAAATGTTAGAAAATACTTCCCTCACCTCAAAAAAAATCTAATAACACTTTTCCAAATATAGAAGAAATAAAAGATTATTTCTAAACAGTGGAAAAAAATGACCGCTTAATAAAACTTTATCCACTGAAAGGAGAAATCGAGTTTGAATACTCCCCCCACTGGATGATGTTGTAGTGATGAGTTTAGCCAGACATGTAGCCCACCCTATGAAGGATGCTGTGTCCTTTAAAGATCCCATAGACAGGAAAGTAGATTTAGATCTTAAAAAATCTTGTGCAGCAGGAGCGTGCCATCTGGTGATAGTTTTAACATCAGTATCCAGAACTATTTCTGCCTAGACTCAGAATATTGAAAGCACAGTTAAATCAGACATTGATAAGGAACATATGCAACTTCGTGAGAGAAACGGCCATTTATAGCAGGTGCTCAAGGGTTGTGTTGGCAACAGTGACTACAAAAAGAGCTTTGTGCCTGAAGCAATGGTCCACGGATTCCTCTTTAAAAACGAATTGCTGTGGGACCCCATATGATGGATCAAACCTTTTTGGAGGTTGGAGTCTGCTATAATTAAGGTGACTGGCAGAAGATCGGGGTTGTTGGCCCAGGACAGACGTGTGTGTGTGTGTGTGACGTGTGTCAGGACAGACGTGTGTGTGTGTGTGTGTGCGGCCGCACTATACAGACAGGGTAGATGATATCTCCAGGAAGTATGTCCAATAGTAGCCGGCTCTCGGGTCTAATCACCGCTGATAGTGGTAAATAGACCCGAGATCCGGCTACTATTGGACATACTTCCTGGAGATATCATCTACCCTGTCTGTATAGTGCGGCCGCACACACAGGAGGCCCTCCCGGACACTTGAGATGAAGGGAACAACCGGCTTCATTGCAGACGAATATCCAGACATCTTTGTGAAAGAAATATGATTTCCACTGCTGAAATGAAGCGATTCCTGTGATTAAAGATCACCATATGGATACATCTTGGATGTTTAATGAAAAAGACAACTAACTATTCAGCGTGAGACTCAGTGTGGACTGCTACATTCAACTACGAACGGAGCGAGTAGTCTCTGCATACTAAGATACAAATTGTATCTGATCCACTTTTTTTTAGCTCAACTCACATATCAGTGACTGATCGCCACCCGCTGAGGGTTATCATATTACTATTACTGCGATTGTCCATCTATTTGAGCTGTTAAAATGTTTTTAAATTGTTTGTGCCATGTGATTTAGTTTTTGTATTTTTCTACAACCATTAAAATTTACTAGAATATATTTAATTGTTACTTATTCATCAGACAGCTCCATTCTTGGGATTTCTTTGTTGCTTAAGGGAATCCATTTATTATATTTTTGAAACCCAGGAGCTTAGTCTATTCATTTTTTCTGATTCATTGTGCCACTCCTTTCCCTTGTGTTAAAACATTTCAGTACTGTCCAATTCTAGATTGTTGTTCAATCCTTTAATCATCCAGTTTCTCAAAGTATGCCTAAAATTGCGTCCATCAAGAAAACCCAATGTTCCCACAATGGGACTTCTCTCTCCTTAGTCCTATCAACCCTGTTGTCGCTTCATTTCATCTGGCATCTGACCCTTCTTTGTGGAATCTAACCCTAAAACAGTTTTTTCTAGTAGCCTTCACTTCAAGCTAAGAGAGTCAGCATTATATGCCCTGGCAGTAGAAGAACCTTAAAATATGGAAGGCAAGTATATAGTTTTCCATTTTCTTTCAGCTTTAGTTCAGGCTGCATGTATTTCTACAGGGTTCCAATGGCAACATTTTCTGGAGTTTTAGACCTGTCCTCTATGGCCACTACTACTTCATCTGACAGCCTTGCTCCTAGTAAGACAATGATAGCAATATTTTAAAAAAAGTGTATGCTAAACTACCTGTTTAAAAACTGCTAAAGAAGATGGTACTGGCAGAAGGCAGTCTAGAAGCCTTGTGAAAGAGACCTCATCATCATGTTATAGTCACACTGTGCTGCAGCACTTCAATGTAGGTATGCACTGAAATGCATTTGTGAAACTGAAAATAAAAAATTTGTCAGACCGAAACCAAAAATGTAATTTGTTTCCAACCTTTAAATTTTTTTTAAATAAAATGTTTATTATTTTACTTTACTGTTGGGGGGGCTCTAGGGAAATATCAGGGGTCTGTATAGACCCCTGATATTTCCCTTTTAAAATAGGGATGATAGATCCCTTTTTCTGCAGCCCCTGTTATGAATTAACAGGAAGTCTCTACACAAAGTGTTCCTGTCCATTCACACATTGTAGTTATAGTACGAGTTACTATGTTCACAATCATGAATGATTTTTAGATTGTAAGACCTCAGGGGCAGTCTTGATTTGTATTGTGATTGTAATGTCTTCCTTATATTGTAAAGCGCTGCGCAAACTGTTGGCGCTATATAAATACTATGTAATAATAATAACAGGAAGTGATGTAGATCACTTCCCATTCATTCATAGCTGGGACGGCATCGGCATCCTGACAGCTGTTACCGCCCGCTCGGCCTCCCGAAAGCTTCTCTCCTCTCCTCTGGGAGCTGCATCAGAAGACAATCAGGACCGGCGCCCAGCAGAATACTCTGAATTTTTTGGCTGTATTTGCCAAAAGTGCCATTTTTTGCCGAAATGTTTTAGCGGCCGAAATTTTGGTGCATCCCTACATCAGTGCCTAACCAATGCTAGGTCAACCTAACATGTCCTAACACCAAAACTGATATTTCACATTTATAGATGGTTAAAGCTGATAGTGTTTTATAGCTCTCCAGAAATGTATGGGGACTTGCACTTGAGTTATATTGTCTGCATGCTTAATGTGGCCAATATTAAAGGGTTTTGCTCTCCCTGTTGATTTTTTTTTTATTTTAGCTTATGGAGAATTGAACGACAGGAACACCCAAAACTCTCAGAAGCACAAGAGAGTCAGGAATTATGGTGGGAAGATCATTGTTTATCTAATGTCTATAAGAAGCCAGGAAATGACTCAGTGTACCAGCCCAACAAAGGAAACTTTTGGATGATTTGACCTTTTAATACCAACATATCGATTTTTGGTGGATGTATTTAGAGATACAATTAAATGACTAATCACATAATTTTCACCATTTTGAGCCACGATTTAGCCAAGATACCTTTGTCTAATCCCCTGGGTGGAAGGCGTAGCATTGTCCACGCTGATAGCTACTGTTCTTCAAATATTGGACTTGTTCTGGGGGTGTCTTCTGAGGATATAGATGTATATACTCTTGAATGTCTAGGCTGTTTTCATGACATGATATCTATAGCTTTAAGCATGTAGCTCCAAATCAAACAAAATGTTTCCTGGTTGTTCCTTCTCATTTACCACTTTATTTAACAAAGGTGTATTGGTAATTTTAGAAGCAACCATGTGGCCAACATGATCCATGAAAAGGGAAATTATCGCGGTTTTTGCTAAAAATATACTCCACCCGCATATACCACATACACTGGTATTTTTTGGAAGGTGCTGTGGTTCAGTAGTGAAAGCAAATGGTAGGAGGTAGGAAATGTGTTGACAAAAGCAAAAATCTACATATTGGTCTCAAAATATACACTTGTATATATTTATATATATTTGTATATACACACAGCTACAGGACTATATGGCGATGGTTCATCCACTTTCAAATGTCAAACAAACGGGCCAAATGAAAAAGACAGAATGGAAGAGTAAATCAAGTGGAGTTGAACCAATAAGTGTGACACAATCTCCTCCCAGTGTTTCTGAGGGGTCTAGCATTTCTCTGGTCTTGTCATACTACATTCAAACTGGAGTGTAAATCCAGAGCTTTATGTATTAACAAGTTTTTTTAGAGAGTTCTTGGCAGTAGAATAAGAATAGAAAAGTGCATGGCAGGAGTGAAGTTCCGTCAAACTCCATAGGGTCAGCAGTAGAAGATGAGAACCATCATCCATCAATATCCCAGCTGAAGAGATGGTGTTTTACCAACATGTCCTGTACACCTTCCTTCAGTGGCTTCTTCTCCTTTTCCTGCAAAATGTAAACAATTCACGAATGTAAGCTTCATTGTTCTCTTTAAACACTTTCTTACATTAGATAAGAGTAGTATCATTTTATGTCCCAACTGCTCAACTCCAGCTAACAATTTTAAGCTGGCTCATATATTTAAAGAGAACCTGAATTCAAAAAGTGAAGGTTTCCTATGTTATAGGGAACATCTTTAAATGTTAATAAGGCTTAAGCAGTACCCTTTAATTGTTTCTGACAAATAACAGTGCACCTCCTGGTATGTGAGGGTGTCTAGTCACTCCTGTGCTTAGAGCCTTATATCTGCAATTCGAATTTGAGGCACTGCTGCCTCTGACTGCAAGTCTCAGGAAATTTGGAGCAAGGTTTGTTTATGTCACTACTGTGCTGCTCACTGTTCTCCTTGCTGGAGGCTCTGATGGTAGGGAAGCAAAGCCCTGCTTCTACTAAGATGGCTAACTCTGCAAACTCACACATTGCAGAACAAGGCATTGTAAGTCAGCAATGGGTGAGTCAGAATTTGGGGTGCATACGACCACGGACCACTGCTTTGTGTGAGAGAGCTGCAGTCTGAATCTCCAAACTACTGCAGCACAGGCTATTTTAACCTTTGCTGCAGCACTTACCAGTTTAATAAAGAGAAAGAACGATCACACTTATCGCTGTATTTGCAGCCTGGCTGCATTACAGTAATAAATTGTGAGGGTTCACCTAATGCTACAAATGGTATCTAGTGTCCCACACACAGGATTTATAGGCTGATCCATAACATAACACAATGCCTAACATATCTATAAAAAATAAATCAAAGCAACTGGACAAGCTGTATTTTTCTCGAAGGCGTCTTGCTGGTCATCCAACTAACATTCTCAATTCAAAAATCTGAAGCTATCTTTTGAATTGAGAAAGCTAGTTAGATGACCAGCAAAACATCTTCAAGAAAAATACAGCAAGTCCAGTTGCCTTGATTTATTTTTTACAGATATACCATGATTTGGGTGAATGAAAACCTTCACAGACTTAATGCCTACAAGTATTCAACACACCATTAACTACATTTCTTTATCACATGGAGAACAAAGAGTATTACTAATTTGAATCTGCCCTAATTACTTTTTAGTCAAATAATACTTTTTCTCAGTGACCTCAGTAATAATTATTCCTGGCCATACACTGGTCAACTGTTCTAAAATACATGAGAATGAAAAGAAGGGGGAAAGAAATGGTGGTGATGGTTTGTATGCCGACTAAGCAAATGCTTATGTTCATTTTCTAATCTGCTGAGGACTGTATGATGGAGAAGTAACATGCTACTAAAGGTATAGAAAAAGTCACTCACACTCACCTCCCTTTTCACAGGTAATTCCCAGTCAGGTGACAAACTGAAGGCAAACTTTGAAAGAACCCTGAAAAAAAAATATGAAAACTGATAAATTTGCTTTCGTCTATCAGAACATATAGCAACTGAAATGTATAATGTGTAGGAACAACACAACAATGATCTGTCTGCAGTATTCAATCAGTCCTTTATGAGCATATCTGGCATGATATGTTGTATGTGACAATTCTGTACCGACCCAACCATGTTCGTCCTTCTATATACTTCAAAAGCAAGTATGTACAGTGCCATGGTGGTTCATTATTAGACATATAGAAAAAAGCAAGTAAAATACTTTCTTGTATTAAGAGGGTCTAGACTCCAGAGATAGACATACTAATGCTTTGTACAGGGGCAGGATTAAGACCTCATCTGGAATATGCAGTTCAGTTTTGGGCACCAGTTCACAAAAAGGATGTTGTGGGACTGGAGAAAGTGCAGCGAAAGGCGACCAAACTCATAAGAGGCATGGAGGAGCTCAGCTATGAGGAACGATTTTATGGCAAGACAGGAGGCTTCATATTTTGCATAACTTTCTTTACTGAAACCTCATAGCAGCAAGGAACATAACAGAAAACAAAAGTATCCAATAGCAGCACACAGCATGTTATAAAGTCCACCCACACGAAGATCCATCCTCTTTTCTTGCTGCTACCTCATGGCAGGTCAGTCATATGTACATCTCCTGCTTTCTGGTTTCTTACTACTGCATATTTGTTTGTTTGATCAATCACCCCTCCTGATCTACCTCAGGATCCCCCAGGCTTCTGCCCTACCTTTCTCTACCAGCAGCTTCTGCCGGCATCCTCGTCCGAGCTGCTGCTCTGATCGCCGCCAGTTCTCGGGGGGTTTTTCTGCAAGCTACGGCGGCCATTTTGTTGTAGTTTTGTCTGGGCCGAATTTTAGTAGCTCCGCCCCCGCGGCCATTTTTCTTGTGTTTTTCTCCTCTCTCTGCGGCGGCCATTTTGTTGGAGCCACGTTTTTCTTCCTCTCTAGTGCCCGCCAGGGACCGCGCGCGGCTGTCTGCAACGTGCCGACTACTCCTCACATCCTTCCATCTGGCTGAGCCCCAGCGTGTGTACCTGTGCCCTTTTGGGTGAGCCCCACCTTCCACATTACTTTCTGCACTTTGTACACTGGATGAGCCCCAGTGTTTCGTACCTGTGCCTTTGTGGGTGAGCCCCAACTTCCACATTGCTTTCTGCAGTTTGTATACTGGATGAGCCCCAGTTTCACTGTATGAGCCCCGGTGCAACTTGCCAGTGTGCCTTCTGTTTAGTGGATGAGCCCCACTATTGCATTGCCTTTCCACCTGTATCACTGTTATTACGGTGCCGTTTTTACTTATTGTCATGTCTGACCCTGCTGCACCGCCAGCTATCCCTCCGGCTGAAATGCAAGCCTGGATTCAGGCGGCCGTTAGAGAGGCTTTGGCTACTGCCTTCGCTCCTACAGTTGCCTGCGAACCCCCTCAGACCTGTGCTGTCCATTCTGATGCGGAGTCGGCCGACTCCTTTATTTCCCAAGCATCTGGGGACTCTCGCAGAGCGGATAAGCGCCCCTGGAAAGGATCCAGCAAGTCGGCAAACAAAGGCAAGTGCCACGCTAAACGAGCTAAACGCTCCTCAGTCCCTGCTTCGGCGGGACGGTTATCTTACGCTTCCCGCTCGCGGGACGCCCATCACCGCTCCTCTCAGGATGACTTGGAAACCCAATCACCATTGGGTAGTGACGCGGGTGAGCCCCGCAGTGTCCAACTGGCCATTACCCAACAATGTTCGGACCCGGCGGATGCCGATGTTGGTGCTTGACCCTACTGGGTAAGCACTTTTTGACCCCAGATTCATTCGCCATCCCAGGTCATCGGAGTGGACTCCTCCGGACATCGATTACACACCCCGCGACTTCTCTCCTTAAAACTGCAAAATATGAAGCCTCCTGTCTTGCCATAAAATTGATGATTATTCTAGCTTTAGTGACCGAATAATCGGGATTTTATTAAAGACAGGAGGCGAATACTTTTCCCACCCGTGTCTATTACTGCTCGTCCCTACCCTTGGTGTATTACCGACATATATGTTTTGTCATGCTGTTTTATTGTACTTACTCCTTGCACGTTCATTTTTCTATACTGTTATGTCACAGTTGTTTGGTTTGCTGTTACGTTTTCGCTGTTTCTCTTGTTTCAGTTTAACAACTCGCTGTACTCTATGGCATTCCTAAAGTTCCGGATGGTTATTCTCAGGTTCTTTTTGGCCTTGGTTCCAGTTTGACTTCTCGTGTTTTTTCTACCTGTTACGTTCATGGAGACTGCTTCCAAGAAAAGAGGATGGATCTTCGTGTGGGTGGACTTTATAACATGCTGTGTGCTGCTATTGGATACTTGTTTTCCGTTATGTTCCTTGATGCTATGAAGTTTCAGTAAAGAAAGTTATGCAAAACATTCGCCTCCTGTCTTTAATAAAATCCCGATTATTCGGTCACTAAAGCTAGAATAATCATCAATTAGCTGACCTGAATTTGTTCTCTCTGGAGAAGAGGCGATTAAGGGGGGACATGATCACCATGTATAAATACATAAATGGTCCATATAGTGAGCTTGGTGCCAAATTATTCACTTTAAGGTCACTGCAAAAGGACAAGGGGGCACTCTTTGCATCTGGAGGAAAAGAGGTTCAACCTTTGCATATGGAAAGGATTCTTCACAGTTAGAGTTGTGAAAATGTGAAATAGACTCCCCCAGGAGCTAGTTCTAACGAGCTCTGTTAACTGTTTAAAAAAAAAAAATCTGGATGTATTCCTAAATGCACAGAATATTACTTGATATTGAGTTCTTATATGTACATTAAGCATCAGAGATTGTTGATCCAGGGAATATGCGATTGCCTTATGGGATCAGGAAGGAATTTTTTTCCCCTGTTGGAGCAAATTGAACCATGCTTTATAGGGTTTTTTTTGTTGCTTTCCTCTGGATCAACAGTGGGTAACTGTGGGCATATCGTTCAGTTTTAGGCTTTTCTGTTTTTTTCATATCTCTATAGGTTGAACTCGATGTGCCTTTTTTCAACCTGACTAACTATATACTTAGAAGCCCTGAATCTACAGGGAGAGCATGGTTAACCTATTCCAGGATCCTAATCCAGTTAGTAGATCTACAGGGAAGACACAAAAAAACAATCCCTCTCGGGGTCAGATAACCGTGAGAACAAGACAAAGACAGAGACCTCACTAGGAGCTTCCAACAGCCAAAAAAGATGTCGCTCACCTTAAATTGTGGCCGAAAAAACACATATGTGCAATCACAGCAGAAAAGTTTGTACAGAATCTGTTGTAGCGCAAGAATTGCGCTCTGTAAATATTTCTTGTTTACAGATTTTACACATAAATCATGAATTACTTTATACATGAGTTTATTCACATATTATTAATGGAGATTATTAATCATTATATATATATATATGTTGTTTTTTGGATTATATCAAATTGATACTATGTATACAAACAGATATTTAGTTTATGGCTGTCATAGTATATAGAGATATATTACTGATAGCATTTGTTATTTAGTATATTAGCATTTAATATGATTTAAAAAAAAAGAGATGAAGGAATTGGATATTCAGATCCAACAAAACATGTTGCAATTAGAACCGTTTGTAACTAGTTCACAATCTAAATGGTTAGTAAGGCCATCTAATTTAACCAGTTGACATCCGTGGTGTTAAACCCCCTTCCCATCCAGGCCATTTTTCAGTATTCAGCGCTGCGGTACTTTGACTGACATTTATTCCGTCATGCAGCGCAGTACTGAAATGATTTTTATACCCTTTTTTGCGGACAGATAGAGCGTTCTTTTGGTGGTATTTATTCAGCACTGGGATTTTTATTTTTTTACTATATTAAAAGGAAAAATTACCAAAATTTTTTTAAAAAACAAAAAAACAAAAAACAAAACTGTTTCCCCTATATTAAATGATAAAACATTTATTATTACCCAATTTTTGGGTAAAATATAAAAGACGGGGTCACGTCGGGTAAAAAGACACCAAACATGTCAAGCCTTAAAATTGCGTGCGCGCGCGAAACCTCAAAAAACGATAATACCCAAAATTGGCCCTAGGCGACGCTTTAAAAGCTGTTACCGCTCATCAGTTTAGTGTTATCAGTGATTGATGGCCCTAAAATGATTGCTCTCACTGCGACGTTCGCGGCGATATGTAACATGTGTAGCGCAATTGTAATTTTTGCGCGCTGGGGCACCGGACGCGTATTTACGTTTATAGGCGCGTAAACGTGGGGGTGGGGGAGTTAAACATTTTGGGGGGGTTTTTTCCCCTTTTTTTATATGTGACTTTTATTTTATTTTACTTTTTTATGTGTTACTTTTATTTTTTTTTATTTATATTTATTTTTTTGCACTTATTGTTATTGCTATTATATAGGGGGATAACAATCCCCCTATATAATAGCAAAGGCACACTGACAGGTCCTCTTTATGGAGACATTAGGGGTCTCTAGGACCCCTAATGTCACCTGTGGACCCCAAAAGAAGCTGATGAAGCAGAGATCTGCTTCATCAGCTTCTTCTCTCTGGCTATAGCAGCCAGATGACTGACAGGTGAATGCGGAAGTGATGTAATACACATCACTTCTGCATTCACAGCCCGGACGGAGATCAGCAAGGAGCTGAACTCCCGTCCTCTTGCTACTGACGCCCTCCAAGCCAGTCCCGGGATTCAAGATGGGGCAGCGGATCCCGGGATTCAAGGTGAGGGGTCGAACGAGCACATATAGACGATCGGCGGGCTATGGAGCCGCTGATCGCCTATATGTGAAACACCCGGTGACGGGTGTGTGCAATGGTCGGTCTTTTCTGCCCGTGCGTGCCCACTAGGGGGCGCGCACGAGCAGAAAAAAAACTGCCGTCTGGAGACGGCAACCCGCCAATGCTGCAGTGCCGTCCGTCCGTTTTTTTACAACGGGCGGACGGCAAGAGGTTAATCTAATGTTATATTCAAGCTAGAAATAAATTCTGTGATTTTATGATTAAAACGTATCTAACCGAAAAACAAAGATGCTGCAGCTGAATCCTTATGTTCACTTTCTCACACAATCTCGCCACTTCTGCACTTACATTTATGAATTCCCTGCCAGCCAAGTCCCGGAAATAAGAAGCCATTCTTATTGGTCAGCGAGGTTAGCTGACTGTGCTGACCAATGACAATTTACCAATTGCGAGTATTATAAGCATTCCACTGTGGGGCTGGAAAGTCCGGTGTGTGGACTGGTGGGGATTTCAGACATGTAAATGCAGTGGAGGTTCGGGGAGGTGGCTGTGGGTAAGTTCACAAATGTGGTGGCTGCATTATTTTATTTTTTAGGCTTTTTTTAAACCTATTTTTGCAGATAGATGATGAGGAAGCTTTCGGTTCCGTTTGATCTTGTCCCCCTCCTCTTATTTTATCACTTTTATTGTTGTGTAAATGATTCATTATATTAGTGAATTATATGCTCAAGATTGATCTCTTTGGTCCTATTGTGCTTTTATCAATGATTTTTTTGTATGTGATGTGTGACAATTTTTTATTATGTTTACACATATGTTGTGAACTCCAGAAGGGACAGAGTTGATAATCGAGTGATTTATGACCCCTTCATCATGAAGTGAGGAAGTTCTTTTGTGAATTTAAAAATGTGTCTCCTTATCTTACTTTGTGTACTCCTGAAGAGGGGGCCATGTCAATTTGTTTGATTAAAGTCAGAGTTTTTATTATCTGCTTTTTAGGTGGAATTACTTTCCTACAGTGTCCTTTGGTGTGGATAATATTTAACAAGCACTGATGCTGTGAAGCTTGTACATTATTTACAGCCATTCATTAAGGTGAGCCTTTCGTTGGTCTGTTTGCTAGGCTTTTACTTACCGTATACTGTTACAGTTAGATAATGTGTTATCCCTCACAGTATACTCTGCAAAGAGCTTCTACACACGTGTTTTCCTGACCATATTTTAAGGTGAGCCACATCTTTGGCGTTTCAAGCATATCATATTGCTGCTCCTGTCTTTCTCTTGGTTTCCATTGTGGTTCATTAGGTAGCACTGGTACTCTACATTACTTTTTTTTATTTTGCCACCATATATATATTTTGTTTTTTTATCAACTCATGAATTATAGCCAATATTTAAAGTGTGAGTATGAGAAAAATATTGCATATTTCACAGCACTTTATGTACAGCATACCTAAAAGGGTTGATGTATAAACAATTTGCAGTGCCATTTGCCCTGTAAATATCTTTGACCATTCGCTCTGTGCAAATATACAGTATGTCAATAGGATTGCTCTCTTTGGGGTTCAATAGAATTGCTGTTTGGGTTTTTTTTCTTTACAAGTAGAATGCATTTTGGAATGTTTCATGTAATATCACATTATGACCACATTTCTATGCTTGTCAGCCATCTCGCGGCCATAATGTGATATTACATGGAAAAAAAAAACATTCAAAAGTACATTGTCTTGCCTAGGGCAGCATAGTGGTTAGCGCTTCTGCCTTGCAGCACTGGGGGTCTCTGGTTCGAATCCCAGCCGGGTCATTATCTGTAAAGGAGTTTGCATGTTCTCCCTGTGCTTGCGTGGGTTTCCTACCACACTCCAAATACATGCTGGTAGGTTAATTGGCTCCTGTCTAAATTTGCCCTGTATGTGAGATGGGGACCTTAGATTGTAAGCTCCTTGAGGGCAGCGACTGATGTGAATGTACATTATGTAAAGTGCTGCATAAATTGTCCACGCTATATAAAAATAACCTGTAATAAACAACTAAAGAACGTTTGTTGTGGCATATATCTGCACAGAACCAATGGGCCATTTGCCCTGTGAATAGTTTATGAATAGATCCCAAAGCATGTCCATTAAAAAACATTTTTAGTTTTTGGTACAGTGGAAAAAGGATCAGAACTCCCAGATTTTTACTCAGAGAGATTTCTCCTTACAAACTGTCAACAATTTGACTAGACAGGAAGTGAGCAACATTTTTAGCTGCAACACAGACAAAAATTAAAATGCTTTATTTTCTTAATAGAATAGATGAAGGCTAGAACCCCTCTGGGCTGTGTCTCTGCTGTAGATTTTCCCTCACTTCCTGTCTGGTGAAACCACTGTTACCATGACAGTGAGGAAATATCTCTCTATGGCCTCATTCACACACAACGCAAGCAAAATTGTATATTGCGTCTATGCGCGTGTATATACGAGCGTATATGCGTGCACTATATGCAATCCCAGAATGCATCACTCGTAATGGAATTTTTACTGTGCTGTACACATGTATACGCACGTAAGTACGCGTATATGCGCATAAACACACAGAAATACGCTGCCCGGATGCATCTCTGTTCCATTTTGTTTTTGCGCATATATACGCTACGCAAATATGCGGCTATGTGTATGGAGCCATTTATTTGCATGTGTTGCATACGATACAGTAAGCGCGTATATGCGCGGCAGTGTGAATGAGGCCTAACAGGGCTCCGAAAAGGAATACAAATTCTACAGGGGTTCTAATTCAACCAAACTATATCAAAACTTGAAATACCACTTTGGCTGGATATATAACTTTAGAGATTGCTCAGAATTCTTCACATATACTGCCATGTAGAAACTGATGTAAATAGAGATCAGCAAAATACATTCTGATCGTTTTCATGTCACTGTAACCTTGAATTAGACAACATGTCAATCACTGTATCCAAGTGATGTAACCAGCTCACCTCAGCTCACATTTGATTTGCACCCAGCCTGGACTCCTCAGGAAAGACCATGGCTGATACCACTTCTCCACTGTCTGCAAGCTGGAGCAGAGCACCTCAAGCCACAGATGGATCACCTGCTCGCTATAGTGTAAAAGACAGCAGAAAGAGAAATGATTGTCATTCTGGAATTCGATAACATATCATTAAAAAAAATCTGAGGCAAATAACTGAATTTCATTTGCAATTGAGGAACAAAAAAAGTTTTATACCTATTCAAAAGGGAATATATAGCCCAAAAAATATATATGCACCTTCTCATTGCACATCAAAATGAGCTGCTGTATGCAGAGTGGCAGTGGGTGCCAGGCTCTGGAACACAGAGTGGGGTCAGCATACGGCAGTATATATCTTAGGCACTCTCAGGTAGAGTGATCTCCTGCCCAAGGTGCCTTGCTAGGGCTTTTTTTGTACGCCTGTTGATGCCGGGGTGTTTTTGTTTTTATTTACTCCAGCTAGCGCTGGGACAGTGACTGGCCATTTGTTTAAAAAGTTTGGCAACTCTTGCATTAGAGCACCTTTAGTACTGTATTTGGGTGCAGCCTGGAAAGATACATATGATGCCATGAATTGTTCAGTCATAGGCAAGTTGAAAACCATCAGATGTGTACAACACAACGCTCAAGAAAGGACTTCTGAGGCACACGACTGATTCAGCAAGCAGTGATCACTGTAGACATGATTTATCTCTGTGATGACTGTTAGTACAAACACACTTATCCCATCAGCTGTAAATGGAAGCTTGCAGCCTGTATGTACCCAAAATCTTTTAAAGTTAACCATCACAAAATGGGTCACATCTAATATATTCTATTCAGAAGGTATGTCTATTCCTCCCTGGCATAGTACTCTGCATCCCTTAACACACTTTGTTTTCATTTTTATTTATATTAAAGCGCCTTTGTCACTATTTAAGATAGAAGCCCAGTCGGCAAAGAAAAGCATGATTACTTATCTGCCCCAACGATCTTTGCGGTCTTAAAGTGATAAACTATCTGAAGAATATTCAGCATCAGACACACTGCAGGCAGTGAATGCTTGCTTGGTTCCATGCTAAGTGCTCTGTGGTTCCTTCCACCGACCCCTACATTACTGCTGTGTGCTTTGTGACATAAGGGATGGCAGGTGAAACCGCAGAGCTCAGCAGGGGACGAAGGAATTCAGACACTTTCACAAATGTCAGATGCATTAGATTTTTTTTTATAGCAAGCTTATCTCTGGTAAGAAAGTGGAGTTTAACAACGTTGGCAGTGGGACAGCTAAGTATTAATGCTTTATTTTTTGCAGACGTAACTTCTTTTTAGCTTTTTAAAATAGCAACAAAGCATTTACATATCATTATATACTGATTTCAATTACACTGCTTGGAAACTGCAATAAAGTACTACCCATGGAAAGAGAAGAATGTTTTAAACAACTAGCTACATACAGGTTTGCCTTGTATTTTTGTACACTGAATGCAAAGTCAGAATTCTGAAAATGTATCTAGAGAGCCGGTATTAGGTGCAGGACAAAGTATGTTACAGTCTGTTGGTATTTCTTACTGCATATATTTGGCTTAATTTGTATACATTTTACTTACTTCAGTCCAATACAAATAAGAGAGCGCAACTTGACATCCATCTGTGCATGAGCTGCATCGTGACTCACATTTACAGACTGTACCCCCTAGAAAAAGAAAGGTGCATGTAACACGAGATAAAGAGACACTTTTTTATCAATAGCAGATATTAAAATGCCACTGTAATTTAATAGGAAACATAATGTGGTAAAGGAACTGTGGTGGGTTCTTTAAATGCCTAATGTTTTACAAGAGCCATGTTTATTGTGCACCAATCTCTAGGATATGGACATCCAAGTATTTATATACCTCTGTCAGTCAGTAACTGTAGCCTTTAAATGTAGTAAATACCTGTAGTTACAGACACTGAATCAATTCAGTCTAAACTTTTACAGCAAAAGCATTAAAGTCTTTTAGGTTTTCTCTATTATAAAACTCCACTCTTACAGAGCACATACTCGATGTCTACATTACAGATAAGAAGTCTGGAGGGCTGCTACGTCACTGCTGGGACAGGGATCAGGGTAAGCTGAGCGGGCTTAGACAATCACTTCAGTGCTTCTGCTGTGAACAGGACAATAACTCTACGCCTACTATGCCTA